GTGTACCTTGAAAACCCAAGAGAATCTGTCAAAAACGTCCTTACACTGATAAAGCCCTTTGGCAAAGTCTCAGGATACAAAATAAATGTACAAAAGACAATCACATTTCTCTACACCATAATAAACAAACAGAAACCCAAATAAAAAACACAATTCCATTCACAATAGCCACAAAAATAAAAATGAAATACCTTGGCATCTTCCTAACCAGAGACGTGAAAGACCTTTACAAGGAAGACTACAAAACACTGCTCAAACAAATCAAAGATGACACAAACAAGTGGAAAAAATATCCCATGCTCATGGATTGGAAGAATCAACATTCTGAAGATGTCCATCTTACCTAAGGCAATCTACAAATTCAATGCAATGCCCATCAAATTACCAGCAACATTCTTCTCAGACGTAGAAAAACAACACAGGAATTCATATGGAAACACAAACGTCCAAGAATAGCCAAAGCCATCCTCAGCAAAAGAAACAAAGCAGGTGGTATCACATTACCAGACTTCAAACTTTACTATAAAGCTACAATCATCAAAACAGCTTGGTATTGGTATAGGAACAGGCATATAGATCAATGGAATAGAATTGAGATTCCAGAAGCAAAATCTCAATTTCTCAACCAACCCATCTTCGACAAACCCTCCACCACCTAACACTGGGGAGAGGAGGACCTATTCAGTAAATGGTGCTGGGAAAACTGGCTAACCACATGCAGAAGATTGAAACAGGACCCCTATCTATCCCCATGCACACAGGTTAACTCCAAATGGAGCAGAGACCTAAATGTAAAACCTCAAACCATAAGAACCTTAGAAAACGAAGGAAATACCCTCATGGAAATCGGAACTGGCATCCAATTTCTGAACAAAACTCGATACCCACAGCTCATAAGAGAGAAGATAGACAAGTGGCACCTTATTAAACTGACAAGCTTCTGCAAAGCCAAAGAAACCATCAAGAGAGCAGGGAGACAGCCACAGACTGGGAAAATATATTTGCCAACACCAGGTCTGACAAAGGCTTAACATCCTGGATCTACAAGGAACTCAAACTTGCTGAAAAGAAAAAAACAAACAACCCCATTATAAAGTGGCCAAAAGATATGAACAGACACTTCACAAAGGAAGACATCCGAGCAGCCAGCAAACACATGAAAAAATGTTCAACCCCACTAATCATCAGGGAGATGCAAATCAAAACCACACTGAGATACCACCTAACCCCAGTCAGAATGGCAATTATCAACAAGTCAAAAATAACAGCTGCTGGAGAGGGTGTGGCAAAAAGGGAACAAATGCAAAATGAAACAGCCACTCTGGAAAACAATGAACAGCATCTTATAAAGTTCAGCATGTCCTTAATACATGAACCAGAAACATACTCCTGAGAATTTGCTACACTAAAATAAAATGAAGTTTGTACAAACTTGCAGTCAAACATTTATAGAAATTTATAGATGTTAAGAACTAGAGGCTAGGTGCAGTGGCTCAATCCAGTAATTCCAGAACTTTGGGAGTGTGGGGTGAGTGGATTGCCTGAGCCCATGAGTTCAGAAAACAGCCTGGGCAACTTGGTGAGACTTCTTCTCTACAATAAATCAAAAATTAGCTTGATGTGTTAGCGTGAACTTATAATTCCAGCTACTTGGAAGACTGAGGTGGAAGGGTTGCCTGAACTCAGCAGGTCAAAACTGAAATTGGATAGCCGTGAGTGTGCCACTGCACTCCTGCCTGGTCAACAGAGTGAGTCTCCAACTCAAAGAAAAGAAAAGAAACTAAAAACAAAGCAAAATTATTTCAAAGTTGAAAGGATATAAAACCTAGAAAAACTGAATATCTTTCAGTAATGAAAATGGAAAACTATTGATGTGCACATTACAAGTGAATTTACAGACATGATGCAGAGTGAGAGAAGCCAGGCTCCTGGCATGAAATTTCAACTGTCTCTCTTCTTGATTCTTCCACAAGCTAGCAGACCTGCAGATTAGTCTGTATCTCCAATGCATCCAATGTTTCCTCCCAATTTTCTCTCAGCACAACATTCACGTTTTTTTTGTATTGCACATATTTGTACATATCCACAGACATGTGATATTTTGATACTTGCATAGAATAAATAATATCAAGTCAGGGTATTTAAAGTTCCTTTATTTTGGTAGTTAGAGTTTCTACCACCTCCATCACTTATCATTTTTGGGGGCTGAAAATATTTCAGATATCCCTTCTTGCTGTATTGAAATATACAATTCATTTTTGTGAACAATAGTCACTCAACTGTCCATTAATAATGAGAACATCATAACTTGTTTCGTCTATCTAATTATATGTTTGTGTCTAAATATAGTCACCCTACTGTTCATTGATAATGATAATATCAGAAATTATTTCTTCTATCTGACTATATGGTTGTGCCCACTAATTTGTGGAGATGGTTGCAGAGGACTACAAATGATCAATATGCATCAGATGTAAATTTTAAATAAATAAAGCGTATTACATGGCAGTTATACCTCAGTAAGTTTGTTACACATGAAAAAGACCAATAGAGATAACAAAGAGTAGTTAAAAACAAACATATGAGAAATGTCAGAGACTCTGAAAAAGCACCTACATGATGTTTAGATTTATCCATATTTTAAAGAAAACTAAAAAATGCTGTATAAAAACAAAGTCTCCTCATTATAGTAAAGTAGTTCAGTAAATCATACTATTTTTGCTAAATGCAGTCTTAGACTAGGTTGAGAAAATTGGTCATGTCCAGGAATGTGGAGCACAGGCTTAGACAGTGGGCTATCATCATAATGTGCTCCTGGACACATCACACAACACCTGCATGCTCTGTGTTTAGTGTTACACTGGAAAATTAAGGTAGTGTTGAAAAGCAACATGGAATTTATCATGTACAAATGTAAAAATAAAATAACATGCATTAGTTTTGCTGCCAAGAAACAGCATGCTAAGAAATCACATATGTAAAAATATTATTCCTCCCAAGGAACTCCTCCAGTTTCCTCTCAACTGCACTGGGGGATTGCCTCTCTGAGCCCTCCCACCCAGAGCTTACTATATAGCAGACAACATGCAAATAAGACCCTGCCTCTGAGTAATGAAAAGCAGCCCTGACTCTTCAGTTCTGGGAGAGGAGCGCTAGTCCTGGTATTTCCAGGTGTTCCCATTCAGTGATAAGGACTGAACACAGACGACACACAATGGAGGTTATTCTCAGTTGGGTTACTCTTGTTGCTGTTTTAAAAGGTAATTCATGGAAAACTAGATATATTGATTCTGTGAGTGGAAATGAGTGAGAGAAACAGTGGACTTTTGTTGCAGTTTCTAACCAGGACATCTCTGTGTTTACAGGTGTCCATTGTGATGTGCAGCTGGTGGAGTCTGGGGGAGGCTGGTGCAGCCTGGGGGATCTCTGAGACTCTCCTGTTCAGTATCTGGATTCACTTTCAGTAGACATGGCATGAACTGGGTCCGCCAGGCTCCAGGGAAGGGGTTTGAGTGGGTCTCATCCATTAGTTATGATGGTAGTAGCACAAGCTATGCAGAATCTGTGAAGGGCCGATTCACCATCTCCAGAGACAATGCCAAGGACATGCTGTATCTGCAATTGAACAGCCTGAGAGCTGAGGACACATCCATATATTACTGTGCTAGAGACACAGTAAGGAGATGTCAGTGTGAGCCTAGACATAAACTTCCCTGCACGGACTCTGGGTTGAAATCAACTGCAGGTGATAAGCAGGATTCACTGGTCAGAGTCAAGCCCACAAGTAGGTGCAAATGGAGTAGGACTTGTTTCCTGTCTGAGTTTATATTTTCCTCCCCACCTGAAAGTTTCCCCAGGGAACCTCTCTAATTTTAGATGTCTGTTCCTGTCAAAGTGATCTCCTAATATAAAATAAGTCATTGTAATATGAGGACATGTTCACTCTCACAGAAACAAATTCATATTTGCACTTAGAGAGGTGTTAACACCTCAACCACAGTCTCCAAGGTGAGAGAACTGAGGAAGTCTAGAGGGAACAGGGAGTTTTTTCCAATCAAATCAGGGCAGGAGCTTCTATGGAATTTTTTTATTAGGACAATTTTTAGGGATTCTTTGGTCAAAATGTTGTAAAGATGTGGAATTTATCTGTGCTGTGCAAGTTGTCACAATGTCACCTTTCTCAACAGTAATTTCAGGGAGACTTTGAGCATGAGGTCAGAATGAAATGGAATCAATTGTGTTAAAACCCTGACACATGGAATCATGGAAAGTCATGAAGGAAGGTTTCCTGACACATATTCCTGATAACAAGAACTATCCCAAAGGACACTGAAAAACCACAGTTTGCACAAATGCCACCCTAATTTTACAATAAATTTCTTCTGCAAGACCATGTGCCCAGACCCTGCAAGCCCAAACCTGGACTGATGGTATCCTTATTACTGGTCCCTTGTGCCTAAAATAATTATTTCAAAGCAACACATGTACTCTCCTAAGTATTGACACACTGAAATCTTGGCCACTTTTTTTTAGAATCATCACACAATAAGGTCCTTTCTACAAAATTTGAAAGTTCCTTGTGTCTGATGTTTCTTCCAAAAAATAATCCAGATTGATGACTATTAAGAGAATCCTAGGAATATATAGTAAAAAGGCAACTTTAGCACATTGTTGAAAGTTTTTGACATGATGTATGCATATCTTAAAATAGTTTTCTCTATTCCATTTAATAGAGTAGACTCTAATATTGGAGATTAGATTTGAAAATGCAAAGGCCTTTTAGATAACAAAAATATGGTGTGAGGCTGTATCCTTGAGGGTATAGACCATATTGCTCACTAGAGACATATAGAAACAAACAGAGGGATATGGAGAGGGAGTCAAAATGAGACAGAAAGAATGAGTCTCAAGAGGAATCATCTGAATAAAACTGTTGAGTTTTTAGTCCTAGAAATACCTGTACAGAGTGAAGAACCATTAACTCAAGTGAGGAGTCTAGAATTTGTTCATTCAAATAATGAACATGTTTCTTGGATGCAGTTATTGACCCATCACAATGTGGATGAGCTTTTATATCCAATGAAGTGAGAATCCACAACAAGTGATAAACTTACCATATTTCCAATGAAGGTAGGCTGAAATGCCTAGAGCTTTTCCAGAACACTCAGTCAAAAGTACACAGAGAATCACTTTGCATTCCTGGATGTCTAATGAAAAAGTCTGTCGAGGAGATTTCTTTGGATTGCAGAGATTGGTGTAAATATTGGTTTCATAGAAGAGAGCCTTTTGTGAGGACTGGTATGTTCATTAAGTAGCATCAAAATAATCTCTATTGGAGTAGTTTCCAATGTGTAGAATTCTGCATTCCTTCTTGAGATGTAAAAAACAAACCAACCATGAACTCCTTGGAGTTTCACCACCCTGTTGATAAAAATGTCTGATCTGATTCCTTCCAGTGTTTCAAGGGCAATATTCCTCTGATATTATTTTTAATTCACACTTTTTCCTGGTGAAAGAGAGCAGGAAGCTATTAAAAATTAAAGTAGATAACTATAAAAATGTGTAGCAAAAAACCAATTGTTAACTACTGTTGAGAAGCATGATCATCATACTTGAATACTCAATGTTTTGTCACGTCTAAATACAGTAGAACAGAGGATGTTATTGGATGTAACGTCTCACTGTTTATCTTCCAGGTAGTGAGTCACATGACAATAATACATGTGTAGTAGTAAATCACAATGCCATAGTGCTAATGGAGTATATGTGTCAAAGGGAATTCAAGGATTTTTTTAAAAATTAGATGGTTTTGATGTGAAGATGCTAATTTTCAAACATGTGGAAGATTGTGATAGTTAGATTCAATGTGGCATGTGAGTTTCAGTAATGCATTATGTATTTTTCTTTACTTTTCTTTTTTTTTTTTGAGTTGGAGTCTCACTCTGTCACCCAGACTGGATTGCAGTGGCCGCTCCTAGCCACCGCAGCCTCACCTGCTGGGCTCTGGCAATCCTTCCACCTCAGCCTTCCAAGTAGCCGGAATTACAGGCATGCGCTACCATGCCCAGCTGATTTTTTTTATTTATTGTAGAGAAGAGGTCTTGCTGTCCAGTCAGGTCTTGAATCCGCGAACTCAGGCAATCCACTCTCCTCAGCCTCCCAAAGGCACGGGATTACAGTTTGAGCCACCGAGCCTGGCTGCATTATGTATTTTTCAATAAAGATTCCCATTATTTGTAATGCAGGTTTTTATCAACTGAAAGGACTGTAGTCTTTTGTCAAGTAATGAGCTGAAGTTATAGTTAAAATAGTCACAATGTAAATAAAATACATAAAAATCCACCAGTTAGTGGAAACTGGAGAATATTTACCTAAATGTGTCAAAATGGTACTTGGGACTTGGTTTCTGGCTAGACCCGTCATTAGAGTTTCCCAGAACTTTGTTGTTGACTCATTACACCTGACCAAGAATCAACTCTTGCTTTCCTTAAGTTTCCCCAGGTGTTTATTTAAGATCATATCTGAGTATTCTAAATCAGGTATAGTTGCTTTACAGACAAATATAAACTATATTTGTTTGCAACAATCTGGCACATATTATTTGAGTAAGGCCTGAAACTCCACATTGAATATTCTTTTTTTATTTAAAATCATGAGATAACCAGTACTTTTATGATGATGTCTTTAAATCTCTCAGGAGTTTATCTTCTGAGGGTTGAGTTGATGTTATAACATAGGCTCAGGTCACAGGTGTATCACGATGATCTGATGGATCACTTTATTTAGCTTCCATAGATCACTGATTTCACTGATTTCTTCCTTCATATTATAATTGCAGGATGAATGAATAACCCATGGTGGAGACCAGGTTCTTGGTGTCATGAACAAAGAAGTGGATGAAACACACAGAAAGACAAAGAAAGCTAAAGCGAAGTGCAGGGCTTTTTAGTGTTTCTTTTTTGTTTGTTCTTTTTTTTTTTTTTGAGTTGGAGTCTCACTCGGTTGCCCAGATTGGAGTGCAGTGACTGCTCCCGGACACTGCAGCCTCGCCTGCTGGGCTCCGGCGATCCTTCTGCCTCAGCCTTCCGAGGAGCCAGAATTACAGGCATGCGCTACCACACCCGGCTGATTTTTTGATTTTTTGTAGAGATGAGGTCTTGCTACCCAGGCGTGTCTCAAACCCGTGGGCTCAGGTAATTCACTCACCTCAGCCTCCCAAAGGCGCGGGATTACAGGCTGAGCCACCGAGCCTGGCTCTGTCTGTTCTTTTTTTTTAGCAGAAGGATAAAAGCAGTACATACCAAATTCAAGATAGGATATAATAGGCTTCAGCTGGAGTAATTAAATAGTAGCAAGTTAAAGCCAGGATCATTTACATTATTTTCAATGGGAAAGTAACCTCTATTTGGCAAAGCATGCAAAAAGATAACAGTTTAGCAAATATTTCTGGGTTAAATGTACCTCCGGAGGGAATGGTAAAATTATAGGTCACTGTGCGTTTCTCTGCCCACTAATCCATAATTTTAAGTGTATGAATGAGATGTAGTCCATATGCATTAGCCCTTAAAAACTCTACTGCATGGACAGGTTACAGGGAATTCAAGGAAGGTCCTTTTGTGCATGTGCCATACCAGGGGTGTAAGTTTTATGGCCTTCTAATCTTGTCCCACGAATATATGACACATGTTTTCCTGGTAGGTTGCTTAATATTTAACTTTCAGTATGGATTCCTCCTCATATCCTCCTGTCCCTGGAGGTTGAATAATGTAGCATGCTTATGGTTTATCTCCTTTTCCCATGTCATCTTCTCTGTTGAAGCTCAAATTTCAGTCTGCATCTTATCCCCTGCCTAAATTGTATCCAAAAGTCTGAGATGAAAGATACTTCTTTATTTTTTTTTGAGTTGCAGTCTCACTCTGTCGCCTAGACTAGAGTGCAGTGGCCATTCCCGGCCACCACAGCCTCGACCTGCTGAGCTCCGGTGATCCTTCCACCTCAGCCTTCCAAGTAACCAGAATTACAGGCATGTGCTACCACGCCCTGCTGATTTTTTGATTTATTGTAGAGATGAGGTCTCGCTGCCATAATTTCTTAACATGCACATTTTTATTGGGTTTCCAGAATATGTAAGAAACCCATTGTTACAAAACATCTTAAAGATATGTAATACTCTGGAAGCATATGGGCTTTCCCCTGGTATTTGTTTAACTGTAAAACACTAATAAATAAATATATTAACATTGCCAATGTTGATTTTTCATCAGAGGAATATAACCTACAGGAAAGCTTATGTTGTGTCACCAATTTCTGATTAATTATCTACCACTTAATTATTAAGACAAAGTCATCTAAAGGTAATATTCGGTCAATTTACAAAATGAGAGTGTCTAATAAATCTATGGGATGTATAGAATATAACATTTTAATATGAAACTGTTATGAGGGTCATCTGTGTATTCCCATATGTTGCTGTCCTGTCTCACTGTGTACAAGTCAACTTAGACCACACATGGAAAGAGGGATAATTTCAGAATTATTTTTAGCTTCATGCCATGGCATTGTTATGTGAGGCTATTTCAGCAGAAAGTGAAAAAGAAAGAAAGAAAGAAAGATAGATAGAAAGGAAGAAAGAAAGAAAGAAAGAAAGAGAAAGAAAGAAAGAAAGAAAGAAAGAAAGAAAGAAAGAAAGAAAAAGAAAGAAAGAAGGAAGGAAGGAAGGAAGGAACTG